TAGTGTGGCTTTGATTTGTATTTCCCTGATGAGGAGTGATGTTGAGCATTGTTTCATGTGTCTGTTGGCCATCTGGATGTCTTCTTTGGAAATGTGTCTATTCAGCAACACTTACTTTAAATCTTTCTTTCTGTATATGTACGTGTATTTTTTTTCTGAGGTGTTTGGCAGTAAGTTGTAGACATGCGCCTTTTCCCTTAATATTTCAGTTTGTTTCCTGAGAAGAAAAGATAATCTTTTATATACCACAGTATAATTACCAAACTAGAAATTTTAACATTGATATACTACTATTATTGAATATGCAGTCTGTATTCATATTTCATCAATTGTCCCAGCAATGTGTTTTATAACTCTTTCTCCCATCCAACCCAGTTTCTATTGCATTTAGTTATGTTTCTTTAGTCTTTAATTTGGAACAATTCCTTGGCCTTTTGTTGTTATTTGAGAGTGTGTATGTAATTTTTGCTTATATATATGATATAATGCTATCAATCTTTTTCTTAATTTTTTCAGTTTTTAAGATCCACCCATATTTATGTGTAGACATCTATCTTGTTTGCTCCTTCCAATTTCTGCTCAGTATCCCATAATATGCATCAGCCAACGTTTACTTATCCATTCCCTAGTGACAGACACCTAGATTATCTTCAACAACTTGCTGTCATAAATAATTCTGTTATGAACATCTTCCTACATGTTCCCTTTGGGAGTATTCCTGTGATATATAGCCAAGATTAGAATTGTTGGGTCATAATATATCTGCCTATTTAATTTGACAAAGTACTGCTGAATTGCTCTCTAGAACAGCCACCCTGACCATATGCTTTGTTCTAGATAACATTCTAATTTTTGCTATTATGGTGGTTTTAAAGTGGACTCTTGTTTATTCTTTCTGATCACTAATGAGTTTCACTTCTTTTACCAACTCTTCACTGAGATAGACTTTCCTCAGGAGGGAAACTATCTTTACATACGTGTGTGCGTGTGTGTGTGTGCAGGCACGCTCGTGCGTTATACTCTAACACAATCAGCCTCTTAGAGGGATCTTTTGAAGTTGATGTCATGAACAGCAGTTGTAAACCCCTATTTTACTTGACATTCTCTTAGACAATTAAACCTAAGTCCTTAAGACAACTATCTGCATCTGACAACTAAAGATTGTTAGTAGAAATAGAACTTGTAAGGTTTCCTCCTTCATGTACTAGAATTCATGAGCTGTTTTTTTTTTTTTTTTTTTTTTTTTTTTTTTTTTAAGTTTATTTATTTTGAGAGAGAGCGTGTGTGAGTAGGGGAGTGGCAGAGATCGAGGGAGAGAGTAGTCCAAGCAGTCTCTGCAGAGCCCAGGGCAGGGCTTGAACTCACAAGCTGTGAGATCATAACCTGAGTGGAAACCAAGAGTCAGATGCCCAACTGACAGAGCCACCCAAGTACCCCTGAATTCATGAGTGTTAAAAAAAATTTTCATTTGAGTATGGTTGGCATACAATGTTACATTAGTTTCAGGTATACAACATAGTATTTTAACAAGTTTGTATGTTATACTGTGCTTGTCACAAGCATAGCTACCCTCTGATACCATACAATGCTATTATAATATGACTGTATAACCCTAAGCTGTGCCTTTCGTTCCTCTGATTGATTCATTCCATAACATGAAGCCTGTATTTCCCACTCTTTCTTCACTCATTTTGCCCATATCCCTAGCCTCCTCCCATCTGACAACTATAATTTTGTTCTCTGTATTTATAGGTCTGAGTCTGCTTTTTTTTTTTGGTCTGTTCTTTTGTTTTGTTTTGTTTTTTAGATTCCACACTTGAGTGAAATCAAATTGGTTTTCTCTTTCTCAAGTCTGACTTACTTCACTTAGCATAATACTCTCTAGTTCCATCCATGTTGTCACAAATGGCACAATCTCAACCTTTATTAGAAAATGATAGAATTTCTGGAATACTGTAAATACTAGCATGCAAAAAATAAAATGTTATATACCTCTTTGAAATGTATCAATTGAATCTAAATGCCATTACATTTTGCTAACTTTCATTATGCATTTAAAAACTGTGAACAGGGGCATCTAGGTGGCTCAGTCCGACTTCGGCTCAGGTCATGATCTCACAGATTGTGAGTTGGAGCCCCACGTCAGGCTCTGTGCTGACAGCTCAGAGCCTGGAGCCTGCTTCAGATTCTGTGTCTCCCTCTCTTTCTGCCCTTCCCCCTCTTGCACTCTGTCTCTCTAAAAAAATAAACATAAAAAATTTTTTTTAGTGAAAACAATGTGAACATGGTCTTTTTCATAGTCAAAATTTACATCATTTTTTCACTCCTTTAACTCAATATATATGCTTCATCTTTCCCAACCAGAATATTATCCTGATGTATATTTTAATATTTCTTAATATACCTTAAAATATATTTTCATACTTAAATGTGTTTTAATTATATCAAATATCTTTATCACAAAATGCGTATAAATTGCAATTACATTTTAAAAATTTCCTGTGATAATGAAGGAAATTTTTTTTCTGGATTATAGATTTATTACATTACAATCATTATTAGTCAATCATTGATCAGAAACACATATACATATTACACATTTTAATACATAATTAAATCTAAAAGTAAAGTTTTATAGAAAAATGTTCCTTTAATTATTTGTATTTTTTTCAGTTACTGCATTTGTCTCTCTATTGCTAGAATGAGGCAGAATTTCAACATCAATTCGACTCTGATTTTTTTTTTACAGAGGTGAATGCTGACAAAATTTGTTCACATAAATAGGTGAAAGGAATTTATTATAGAAATATCATTCACTTCTTTGAACTCCTTTTGTATTATTTGTCAGAACATAACCATTGGTGATCTAGCATCAAAAAGATTTTTTAATAACCCATCAACTGTTAATTTGATTATATCCTCTCGTAAACTTGATGAAAATAAGTAACTACGTGATATGTTATTCATTCATTAAAGTCATTCTTTTTCTCAACACTAACACCAAATAATTCTGATTATCTCTTTTCTTGACACATTTTTATACCCCAAGGCAATGAACTATTGTAAAATTATGGATGGGTGAAGGATAAGTTTTTCTTTTATAAGGTGGGAGAAATAAGATCTTAAAAGGAGAAGCTTGACTTTTTTTTTTTTTTTAGAAAAGAGTACATAAGGAAATTGAAGATCTCAAAAATTATTTTCTTACAGCCATCTGTGTCTGCCTACACCTATCTTAACATGTCTCAGGAATATATATAAGTCTGTTGCTAAAAGGAAATAATTTTTTTTAAGCTATCATCTTTTTAAAAGAATCATAGTAGTATTCACATGGTAACATCAATCTTTGAGAGAAGTATAAATTTTAAGTTTATTGAATTAAAAATTTACATTAAGTAGCTTATTATGTAACTCTGCAGCTGATTGTTTTGACAGAATAATATCTAATTCAATAAACTGTAAACTCTGTCATCATTTTCTTAGAAGACCATTCAAAGAGATTGATTCCAATGTGTTGATGTCAAATAAAAAGACTAAATACTGGTGTTCATGGAAGGTTATTTGGTGTTTTAATTTAGGGCTCTGGATATACAATCTCATATGTTTCTCTTCCTTTGCTTTTGTTAGTTCCTCCGCATGAATTCCTAGTTTCTTCTCCTTTCCCCACATATTTTATGTCTTTATTATAGCTCTTTTATGTTGTATTTATGAAGACCAATCCACTCAGCTTCTTAAACATGTCTCACATCTAATCCCACCTGTCTATCTTAGTGCCCTAGTTCAGACCTACATCAGTTCTCTGCCTCATTCTCTTCCCACTGCTTTTTGTTCCATCTGTTTTCCCTGCCTCCATTGTCTTGTCACTCCACTGTCTGGACCATAGAGTTACTGTAATGACCTGTCCAAAATACTAATCAATTCCATATTCTCCTACTCTGAAATATTCACTTGCTCTTACTCACAAACCTTCAGCATCTCTACATGCCAAAAGTATTAATATTTACTTTCATTTATTGTAATTCTCTATTCTCAACTACTTTTCAAATTTTTTCTCCAGCAGCTGTCATCAATATGTTTTATACTCTTGTCACACAAATTACTTATTTCCTTTTATACATATCCTGGTACATTTATTAGGATGTCACAATAGACACATAACTTTATGTTTTCAGTAATATTCAACATAAACCTTTGACCACCTGTGAAAAAAGACTAAAATTTATTCATATGCAGTGGACATATTCCTTATAGGAAAATTTATGATTTATCATTGAGATATGTTTTTATATCACATTGATGATAGCACTAAACATGGGTATAGGACCCAGGGTAGGGGGATGACAAAGACAAGCTTTGAATAATGAAAGGAAACCAAGGTAAAGAAAATCTCTCTAGCCGTAATCCTTAAATGTATCAAGATTTTTCAAAAGGTGTTTTGAAAACACATATACAAACATAAATTACATATGTATTTAATTCTCCTTTATATTACTAAGAAAAAAAGATTTTTGGATTTGGCCTTTAACCTAGAACTCAATGGATTATAACCATCTTTTTCTAATTCCCTTTTAGATCCAGCATAGGGAGGAAACATAAACTCTAGGATGTTAAAAGGCAGTTTCTACTAACATTTACTAACTGTATGATCTTTAATAGGTCATTTAATTTTACTAAACTTCAGTTTTTCATACCTATAAAGTGAGAATTAATATACATCCCCTATCTATTCAGGGAAAAATTGTATCATATGAGCTACCATTTGAAAGTATATGATCAATTAAAGAGATATAAAAATAAATTGTATCATAGAAATATTCTGTGGTCTCCTTCACTTTAATCTTGTATTAATCTTGTATTTCCTTAGAGGATCTTGATAGAAAGTATATGTTGGTAAGGCTAATGAATGATCAAATAAGGAAATAAAGGATACATTGGGGGTTCGTTTATTTATTTATTTTATTTCTTTCTTTCATGTTTCTTATGTTTTTTCCTTGCTAACACAGTTTTGGTATGAACCATGATGGAATTGGAAATTCTTGTGGGACGAAAGGTCATGAAGCAGCAAAACTTATGGCAGCTCACATTACTGCGAATACCAATCCTTTTTCCTGGTCTGCCTGCAGTCGAGACTATATCACCAGCTTTCTAGAGTAAGTAATCTCTAGAGAGTGATGATGAATTGCTCCAGAAGTAAGCCCTTGGTAGAAGCCTAATATGTAGTGCTTAAAACTGCATAATGAGTAACTTTTATAGGGTGATATTTCAGGCTGTTCCCAAAATACTTTAATATATCGCTGTGGCAAATTTTTTCCTTCATACTCAAAAAAGAACTTGGTAGATTAGAGAAACTGGAGCAAGGATATAAACGGGGTTGATGATGTGAGTGTCAGAAATGTTCAATCAATGGGAAACAATGTCAGAAAGAATTTAAATTTACACAGGTTAATAGAGCATAGGCCAAACCTTAATTCAGTGATGATATATTTCATTTTGTTGTTGAAAAAACTGAGTTTTTTAGGAATGAATGCTAAAGTATCTAATAGTAACAAACAACAACAACAAAAAACCAAACACCCAAGAAATGAAAATGAGAAAATGAAAATTTAATTTGAAATTTATTAAGTGACTCATCTTTTCTACAGTTTGAGAACTTCTTTCCTTAATCTTTTAATGTATATTCAAAGTTTGTGGTTACTTAAATGTGAGATATGTAAATTAGCTCAGGTATAACTGTGTTTATGAAAGCAGATATTCTTTCACATCTCGCCTGTGTAGGACTTCAGACCGGACTTTGGAAACTCATGTAAGACTTAGGTCTCACTTTCTAACTGTGCAACCATTAGCATGTTACTTAACCTTTCCTAATCTTCAGTGACCTCACTTGTTAAATGAGTTACATAATAATACATGCATCATCAGGTTGTTATATATATAGCTATATACAATGTCATAATGTGTATGAAGTACAATAGACATTCATTAAGTGGTAAATATTATTTTAAATAATATTGAGGCTTTAAGCATTATTGCTCTATCATTATCTTCAACCGTTTTGTGCCATTTGTTTCTTGAGTGGGAGAGATTAAATACTCTGTGAAAAAGTGACTCATAGATAAAGCACTTGTGAACAACAGAAATTCTTTTTAAAAATTGTCTTTGTTCAAAGTTCACATTTACATGACTATGGTGTAAAACTTTAAAGATTCAGAAAAGCTATGTAAGGTAATATTATTCATTATAATCACATTCTGAAAACTTAAAGTTACAAATTTTTAAGCCCCAAACAAGAGATTTTAAATTACCTATCACAGTGCTTTCAACAATAAGAGATCAAAAGGTAAATGTTTAAACTGAGCCTTTTTGAATTAATTAATATAATAATGAAATAGAAGGCATTGGAAATTCATATCAGAATGTAATTCCTCTGAATAATTATGCTATAACCTAAATATTTTTAATTTTAGTAATAAGTAATTATGACACTGCTTGCTTAGTGCCAAAACTGGATTGAAGGCTGTAAAGATAGACCACAGAGAATTTGTTGCACATCTTTGGGCAGTTTTTAACACAAAGCAGTAGCATTATCATTTTCCAAGATGTTTTTAATGAGATCATATTACCTAAATTTTAAACATTGTTGAAGATCTGCTCTCCCCAGAAATCAAGCAAGATCTGGAATTTCTCCTTTGACTTGGCTCATGTTTTTATAATGGAATCTTAGTGTCTATCACCAGAAGGACAAACTGTATAACATGCTCAATATTCCTGTGAATTTTTGAAGGCTTGTCTCCTCTTTTTTTTTTTTTTTTTTTTTTTCAAGTACTATTTTCTTTCTCCCCTATCCTGTTTATTTTGCACAGTTTATTTGCTAGGACCATCTCTGTATACCTAATATAAGCACCAGTTTTGATCTCTTGCCAGACCCTGCGTAGTCAAAACTGTGTTAAGACTGTTAAAAAACAATCCCCAAAAGGGAATCCCTAAATTACTAATAAAATACTGTTAAGAAATCACCAATGGTTTGGTGAGAGATGTAAAATTATTACTAGGTACAGGAAAGTGTTCCATTGAATTAATTAAAAGAATTAATCCAAAAAGCATTATTTAAGCCTTATTGCCTCTTTGCATTTTGTATGTAAGCATGATTAGTGTTGACAGGGTTCTAAAGGGCTTATTTATCCTGTATTTTATGAAAATATTTCTGTTGTGCATCCTCATGGGAATGCTCACAAAGTTAAAGCCATCAGTAAAAGATATTAAAGACAATGTGTAGAGACTTGGGGAAAGTTGGCTTTTTTTTTCCTCTTTAATAATAAACTAAACAACTCTGATTATAATCTGACCAAGCAATAAAGGTTTTTTAAACACAGGGCCCTTTAAAAAGGTCAGTTCACTGGAGCACAAAGACATAATAGTAACTTTCTTGAATTTCTTTGTTCCTTTTTATTAATGCAGTTGGCTTAATTGCTTTAACAGCTATGTGTGATATTTTTAAAAATCCAGTGATATTTTGATCAGGGATTGAGGTTACATTTATGTTTTATAGTTGGCTCAAAAAGACTCATAACATTTTATTTTAGTTTCTCTTCTCAAGAAAAAGAAATCTTGAAAGATGAATTGTTTAGGAACTGCAGCCCAGCCAACAAAATGCATACCTTTCTTTACTTAGTGACTGTATAGGCCCAAGATGATGGTGGATTTTAACAATGAGCTTTCTATGATTTATAGACATTCACTATTCACTATGTTCAACTGAAAACAATTCCATGGCCTTTAAATGCCAGTAAAGTAAATTCTCTCGTGTCTTTCTGAAACACTAGGTGCTATTGATCAATCAGGAGATGGTGTTTACCAACTCCCAATATTTTTTTTCAGATTTCTTAAACTCGGTGATTCAATAAGTGGTTCATGAATCGCCCAGAAGCCGTCCTGATTAAATAATAAAGAACCCATTTCCGTTAAAATGGACGTGTTATGCCAGCTTCTGATGTTTTCGACGACGGCTTTGCAGGTAGTGTCCTTCCTATCTGCCTGCGGGACTTATTGACTTATTTATTTAGAAAATAGAGAAAGATGAACCTGGTATCATGGCTCACACTCATTGATGACTATGGGCTAATTTACCAGGCAGTGGAAGACAGCCAGAAGTAGTTTAGGCCAGTTTTTCATACATTTTCCACCACTTAGCGGTAGTACAGAGTAATTTCATATAGTTTTCAAAAATTCCAGAGCCTCTGTGAATCAACTATTGCTCTATTTAAATTAAAGTCTGTTAAATTGTTTGAACTGTCAGAGATCCATAGCAAAATTTCCTACAGTTCCAAATTAAATACAGACTAGCCGTTTTCACAGAAAGGATGGAAGCTGAATAAAGAAAGGCAATATGATTGTTGAAGGTGAACTAGAAAGAAGGATCTACAAGTAAAGTGATATAAGATGAACAGGATGACCAAGACACTCACATTGTCTTGTAGCAATTACCTTTGAAGATCAGTATCAATAATCTTTAAATGGAAACCAATTTCATAGATTGGACCCTCTTTTTATATGGAGCCCAAGAAACAAAAAAACAAGTTTCTCTTCCTTATGTTAATCAGGCACATTTTGGGGACTTACTTCACTCTAACCCCTAAATATCTTTGATAAATCACAGTTACATATCGAGAAAAGAGGATAACTGAGTAAATCATTATCATTACAGTGTTTGTATGTTGGAAGCCTCAAATTCAGTTATATTCAAGCGTCACAGTCATATAGAGGGCAAGAGAGAAAGGTCTAACTTATTTTAGAAGGTAGTTATTAATTTTGTGGATATTGATAAAGCAGTTTACAATAACATAGTAGATAAGACACTTGACTTACCACAGATAATGCAATTGATTCATTTAATTTAGGTGTATGAGCACAATTTTGTGTTACAAATAGGAGTTGACATTAAATGTTAACTTTTTGTTGTTGTTGTTACAAGACTGTTAAGATATGTATAGGGTATATAGAATGATTTATTTTTTAGATTGATCCACTGTGTGGCTGAAGGTCTGTACTTTATCGTATAATTGTTTAAGTAAAAAATAAATCTAAAATTGCAATTAAGAGAATGTGCTCATGTGTTCTGGAAACAAAGCCAAGGGTGCATATTTTACATAGGGATCTGTAAATATTAACTGAAGATTCAACTCTGGCTCATGTTCCCATTTCAAGACTAATTTTTGAACTATGTAAATAAGGCTTCTCTAAATTAGAAGTAGAATACATAAAATATGATTTTGCTATCATGCTGCTAGGATTTCTGGAAATGTAAATATATTTTGATTTACTAAGAATTTCATAATCTGGGAAAAAGCGTGTTCTCAAACATGCATTTTTTCTACTAAGAATTTCATAATCTGGGAAAAAGCATGTTCTCAAACATATTTCTTCTGTTTTGTCTTAGATGCATAAACAAAAGTAGAGTTTATTATTATCTATAGTGCTGTAGATATTAACTAAGATTAGGCTTTGTAGTGAAATAGATGCTGATAGGAAAATAATCATAGTTCTACTTTTTATGTATATTGTTTTGCTCAGGACAAGTGTTATATCTGCTTAGTAATAATAAGTTGTAATAGTATCTCATAGATTGAAAGTAACAGTTCTCATTTCATTTATTAATGAGTGAAGTTTATGTTTTCTGAGTGGATAATTTGCATATGACCAAAGCACAAACCATCTATACTTAAAAGTGCCATTCTTATTTTGATAAAAGTAGCCTAAATAACACTAGATTTAGCATAAGAATTATAGGGTTATATCGGTTAGCTAGAACCCTAGATTTAATACAATATTCATAATTTCCATTTTATTAAATGGAGATAATTACAAAATATAAGAAGATAACTCATCTAATATTTTTGAGAAAGGAAAAACATTTGTACCAGGAGAACTGTACAAAGATGTTCTTTATCAGCAGAATTTGCAATTTTCAGAAATTAGGAATAATGCAAATGTTTGTTAATAGAAGAATGGATAATTGTTACATAATCTTAAGTGGAATATTAAAGAACAGTATTAATGAACAAGCTACAGGTATACACATCAACATGGGTATATTTCACATTCATAATGTTGAACAAAAGAATAGTCACAAAAGAAAACCTATAGTATGACTCCTTTTATATAGTCCAAAAATAGGCAGATTAATAATTGGGAGATGTATAATTACTAAGACAAGCATGGAAATAATGATTTTAAAAGTCAGAATATTAGTTACTTTTTGTGGAGAATACGAGGGATGTGTTTAGGGTTAAGTGTTTGGGAATTTCCTAAGAGGGGTGACACTTCTAGGGTTAAATATACATCTCTCAGACCCATATCCTCTACCTGTTATACTTACATCCGTGATATTTCATAATGGGAATTGATGACTCAGATGCATGGAAATATCCAGAATTATTATTTTCTAAGGGTTAATTAAAATAATTGTGATCTTAACTTACTTGAAAGTAGCAGGAAAGTAGCAGACACATTTTAGTAACATTATGCAAAAAATATTTTTATCACTTCATGCCCAGTTAAGAATTAAAATATGAAAACTATCCCCCCCCCAAATACTTTAATCCAGGTTTTACTGTATATATCAGATATGGTTAGTAGGAAAATAAGTAGTACATTTTCTACCCAAAACATAGAAAAAATTTAGATCAATCTTGGAGATACTCCTACCCTTGCTTTCCCAGAGCCAATAATAGGTAAGATCTTAGTGACTTTTACAGTTCTATAGACAAACCCATTTCAAAAGGACTTTGTTGCTGCTGTATTCTTAAATACATGTCCACTTCAAAAAGATCTATATGATTTTTTAATATTTTATTTCATATGGTATTTTATTTTTCTGCAAAGAATAAGATTTGTCTATACATTTAATTAGACCATATTAATACAAAGCTATACATACTTCTAAAGAATGGAAATAAAAATCCACTTTTGAGTAGAAGACTTTGTCCACAGGTCACCACAATGCATGCCTTCTGTATTGTCTGGGGGCCTTTCCATTGATTGTGTGATTTGGTATTTTTTGAACAACATGAACCATGATTAGAAGACCATTAATACCTGGGAACAAGAACTTTAAATGAAAGAATTTTTGCTTCCTTCTAGGTTAAGCCAAATTTCTGTTGACTTTCAGAAAATAATTTTTTTCCCAGGATATCTATTCTTAAACTCTTTTGGGGAGGTCCATACTTCCTCTAGGAAGTACTAGAAATAGGAAGTACTACAAATAGGAAGTACTCCTATTTGTAACCTCCTAGGAGGTCCTACTTCCTCTAGGTTTTTAGGTTAATTTTCCATACATACAAGTAATTATGTATAACAATTTTTAATAGACTTTTGAGTTAATGCTACTTAGGTGAATATATCTTATACTTTCTTTGTTATGCTATCAGCAAATATTTTTACCTATGGGACTCTGTACTTAAGTACTTCAGTACTTAAAATTTTCCCATTGATTTATAGTAGCACTTGATTTTTTTTTTACATATTTCAATCTTTTCATAAAGACTTGTAACTTTGTTGTAGATGGAGATGAAACTGATATTTTAGAAGAAATATTACGGAATTAAAGTACTAATTCTTTATTTCATGAATATTATATTTTATCAAAATAGTCCATCTTCATTCAGTAGAGTTTTTACATTTGACCTCTTTTATCATTAATCTTCACATAAAATTTTGAATTTACTGATAGAATTGCATTTGTCTAAAATTTGCATATCTATGTAGATTAAAGATATTTTGCATAACAAAATTAAAAAGCTTGCTATTTTAAAAATTCATCTAGAAATAGTTTTCCTTAATGATCTGCATGTCAATTTCCAAAAGTAAAATAAACAGGAAGTAAAAAGCATTCTGTCATGAAAACTGGATAAGCAGGTGAAAAAAAGTTTTCTATTAAGTACCTTGAACAGTGACAAGTGAACTGATTATAATAGCCAATAATAAAACCCATCTGTATTAGTACCACGTTTAATATTCCATCTAAATATTTTTCTTCATTAAAAATTAACCAAGTGGGGCATAAGTGAAAGGAAAGGGTATAAAGAGGACAGTGTTCTGCCCCTTGGGTTTTTGAATCTATCACTAATGAATAACATGGTTCAGCTTTTAAAAGGTATTAATTTCCTGCTGCACAAATACACATTTTTTATATAGCAAATTAACCTTTACATTTTAAGAAATATGACAAAATAGTAAGTGAATATGAAGCTCATTATTATGCATGGCTCTTTGTTACTTATCTATAAATGAAAATTTGTACTGTCCTAAATAATAGTTGAGGAACTTCTACTTGTGAAATTATTTTCCTTTGGCAAAGTGGATGGAAAAGATTTGGAAAAAAAAACACAAGTGCTGGCACAATTGACAGGAATGTTGGAAAAAATTTTTAAATGTTGGCATAGGAATTCTTTAAAAATTCTAAGTTACTCACATGTGAAATGAAAGTAAAAAAGCATCTGTCCTATTTTATGCACACTGACTTAAAAAAATGAACAATTATATTTAGCAAAGTATAAAGCTCTTTAAACTAAGGTATTCTGTCTGGTTTTTGGCGATCTTTATATTATTTGTTCCACTGAATTAAAATATTATGTTTGAGTGCAAGCATACTTTGAAAAGCAGAAATTGCAGAGAGAGGAGAACATTCTCCTTTCCAACTCTGATGACCCTAGATGAAATATGAAATTTTTGAGAGACTAAACACTTCTAATATACTTGAGAGAACTTTGGATTTTGGCCTCCTCTGTCATTCTGCCCATTTATTATTGAAATATTTCAAGAACCTTTGGACATGTCTTACTACAGTATCTATTGTTGTGCCCAAGTTAGGAGTATATAGATTAGGTCTTTAAGAATTACAACCATGGTTTTGTTTTGTTTTGTTTTTTAATTTTCCACATTTTATGTTTTTAATTCTACTACCAGATGTGGTTACATTTTCATGGAAAACAAACAAGAAGCTTAGAGCAATATGAAATTCTGTTTTGATTCCTTTAGAAATTAGTTTAAATCAGTGTTTGAAGGCCAACATGACATTTTCAGATTGTTGTCTGAGATGCTTTTATTGTGTCTTGGTGCTGGAAAAAACTATTGGAACTCTTATTCACATTTCAGTAAATGTATTCTATTTTGCCATGTGACTATTTATTGGTAGAATGTATTGCTTTTCACGCATCAAGTTATTAAAGCAAAGAGTTCAACACATGGTTTCATAATTGTGATGGAAATAGTCCATAGTGTACCTAATTTCCTTTGATCCTTTATGTTGAACAGTTCAGGCCGTGGTACTTGCCTTGATAATGAGCCTCCCAAGCGTGACTTTCTTTATCCAGCTGTGGCCCCAGGTCAGGTGTATGATGCTGATGAGCAATGCCGTTTCCAATATGGAGCAACATCACGCCAATGTAAATATGGGGTAAGAAGTCTTAATCCTTATGTTTAGTCACTTATATGTGTTCTTTCATGACACAAATATTAAGTTGGAATTTTATTGAGTGTAGTATACATTTGGTAACATCTTTAATGCAAATATGGCCTTTGACTCACTGCTTTTTTTCTGATATCATTGATCTAATATCTATTTCTAAATGAGTAATCTTAAATAAGTTTCAGATGTCTTGTGAGGGATGCAGGTAGAATTTTAATAATTTCTAATGTATTTCTTTTAAAGTCCTGAGTTTATAATGCCAACTTTAGTTTGTCTTTTGAAATGTTATGGTTTCGAAAATTTCTCCCTCCCGGCCTTTTCTGGTACTCTAATAATTGTGTTTAAGGGAATTTTCATATTGGCTAAGAGCCTTTATTTTAATTTATACTTTTTAGTACTGAGTCATTTCAAGTTGCTTCATTCACTGCCCACATTCTAACACAACAACTGAGTGGGGACAAGATGACATTAACCCAAATAGAAAAACAAGGAAAATTACTGTGGAAAAAAATGCAGGTTTCATAACTGACTCTTCATGTCTGCCTAAAAATCTGGGCAGTGGATGAAGCAACTTGAAATGACTCAGTGTTAGAAAGTATAAGTTAAAATCAAATAAATAATATTATATATGTAAACAATAAAACAATTTTATAGAGGAGATCAGTGACTAGTATAGAGACATGTTCATATACGTACCAGTGTAAACATACTGAATGAAAAAATAAGGTTTTTAAATGACAAGTTGTTTATAAGAAGAATTCAAGCTTAAAACATAAGTTTAAAGGGTTGGTTTCTGTTTTTATGTAAATAGTGTTTAAAATCACTTAAAAAAATAATAACCGAAAACGAATTAAGTTTTAAGGTAGTAAAGACTAAACAATATACACATTGTACTGTGCCAATTAATCCTCTTGGGTACAGTACAAAGGAAAGTAATTTTCAAAATATCCCTTGGGTGACAAACATATTATTCACGGTAGGCTTTGGCAGCACATTTTATGCACTAGATTTGAAGATTTTGTGCAACTATCTAAATATCTAAAGCCTTGAATGAAACTTTGGTCTTTCTTGTCTTTCTGTAAAGAGTCTTCTTTTATTGTTTCTGTATGATTTTAGCTCCTTTTTTTTCTTGGGTTGCTTTTTCATATAGAAAAAGTTGGTCAAATTTCAGTCACTGACTTCTTATTTACTTGTAGTAGTAGGTTGAAATTCATGGTTTAATGAGGTTACAGATTTTCTGTTCTTATCTTTGGTATCTCATATCTTTATTAGCAAGTGAAATAGTTAATCTACATTTTAATTTTTTATTGGAAATTGGGCTTTAACTGCACCTATGTATTTTCATATTAGATAATTTATATTATCAGTTTTGCAGAATCTATGGATGCATCTTTTCTTTCTTTAATAATTAATTAAAATTTTCATCTGATTATCCTATCTCTCTATTACAAATATCTCAGACTAGTTGATTTGAAGTGAGATAAATAGTAATTGTAAAATTGTATGTTTTAAGTTTATGTTCCCCATATTTAGCTTTAGATTCTATTTATGTGTTATGTTTATAAAAGCGTTTTTCAAATATTTATTTTGAGAGAGAGAGAGAGCCCACAAACAGGGGAGGGGCAGAGACAGAGAGAGAATCCCAAGCTGGCTGCGCTCTGTCGGTGCAGAGCTCAATGCGGGACTCAACTCCATGAAATGTGAGATCATGACTTGAGCTGAAATTAAGAGTCAGACTCTTAACTGACTGAGCCAACCAGGTGCCCCTAAAAGCTTTTGTAATAGATATAAAATAACATTAGGAAAACTTGGGGAAAGACATTAGCATCTTACAATCCTATACAATTTCACATATTTTGTCATTAATCTTTTCACTTTGATTTGCAGCAAAATGGTTTTCTTAGACTCATGTACTATATGAAAATGCTTATGCTACCTTTTTATAATGTGCTATATATTGCCAAGAAAGTTTCTTGAGTCATAATAGATTCTGTACAATCATTCTCACTTCTTAAGCTTGTGCCCGAAAAATTGGGTTCACACCATTGGTAGCACCCAAACACACATTGTGTTTTATCTGGTGAATTCCTAAGGTTTTAAATGATTCTAAATACTTTTTTAGAAAACAGTAGCGGCTTTGAAAGTAGGAGTCCAGTCAGGTAAACAAGACATACTTCAGATGGTAGCTGAAGGGAAAACAAACCAGCCCTGATTTAGCTGTCAGGGGGTTATAGCATCCTGAGATGAACACTAGACAAAGTACTGGGGGCTTAGAAGAATACTACTACAGACTTTTAGTGAGGGGATACCTTGGTGTTGGACATCAGGAAATGATCCCTCTTTCAACTAGCAGGTCTCTAATGATGCCAGGGAAGATTGTAAGCAACTACAGAGTAACACATGACTGCAGCAGTGATCAGCTTTCCATCACTTCTGCTTCGGTTATTATGTGACCATTGCAAGGGATACTTGTGATTATATCTGCAATTACAAAAAATGTTACTGAAATTCATTGTGAGCAGGTTCATTAATATACATGTTATAATTGAGAGTTTACATGAAAATTTTTATTTTTTATTCTACTTCAGGACAGCATCTTGTACCATTACCCTTGTAGATCATCTGTTTATGTTTTCTAGGTATTTATCACTTCCAGTAGAAGTAGTGAGGAGATTGTAATGGCTATAAATACAAAGAACAAAACAGTATAGTGTATACAGAGTAAAATAGTTGTATAATGTAGTAATTTATAAATGTTATGTGGTTTGTGGTTTTACATACTGTCTTTTTCTGGGATACTTCAGACTACTTTGATAAAAATTGTAATTGTTTATTAATATTTTGTAGATGGTGAAACTAAAATACAGAATTTGATTTACCTACCCTAAGGCTAAAACAAAAATTTTAAAAGATCTAGGGGTGCCTGGGTGCCTCAGTCAGTTAAGCATCCAACTCTTGATTTCAGCTCAGGTCATGATTTCACAATTCGTGTTTAGTCCCAGCATCCAGCCCCATGCTGACAGGGCAAAGCCTGCTTGAGAATCTGTCTCTCCCTCTCTCTCTGCCCTTCCTCGCTCAGGTGCATGCTCTTGAAAGAAATAAAGGAAGGAAGGAAGGAAGGAAGGAAGGAAGGAAGGAAGGAAGGACAGAAGAAAGGGAGGGAGGGAGGAAGGAAAAGAAAGAAGGAAAGAAAAGGAAAGAAAGAGAAAGAGAAAAAGCAAGAAAGAAAAAGAAAGTTCCATTTTCTGTTAGATGTAGTAAATATGTTAATAAAGATAGCAAATATATTTTATTTCAGGAGACACTGTTTATCAGTTTTCATCAAATGGTGTCTCTTTCTAAATATCTTCTTAAAACAAAACAAAACAAGACAAAACAAAACTCTCCATTTTATCCCAGTCTTTTTCGGGAGAGGGGTGATCTGGAAATCTGCCCCTAAACATATTTTCGGGTTTATAAATTCTCAGGTATTTGAAACTGTAGGTATGGATATGAGTTTTATTTTCTTTTACTTTATGTAAAAAGTTAGGACCTCTTCAAGGCAAGAGACAAGTACAGATGAGCAGCATATAAAACAAGATGCTACTAGAACACCTAAAAAAAATCTGCTAGCTGTATTAGTAAGTTTCTGAGGGTGACTGTGTTGTGTTCTGGATGAAAATTCATCACAAATAAAACAGTATCAGTGTGTCCAAAAAATGTGTTTTTTTCTTTTTTTGCCTGTTTGGAGGAAAATTGCTGCCTGTAAAGCTCTGTAGAATCTATTGTCTCATTCGTCTTCCACTTTCCATTTGTCTCCTTTTTTCCTAGTAGAAAAGAATTATTAAAAGTAGATTAACAAAAACATTTTACATTAATAATAACAAGTTTAAACTTTGGAAGGAACTCACTAATGCGCCTATGTATTGTAGAGGATGTAGGTGATCTTTTGACTGCTTTCTAAAAAGCACAGATTAATTCAAGACTTAGTCTCAGACATAACTCTGCATTTCTTTATTTTGTTACTACAAATCATATCCTAAATATTTTTTGCATATATACTTAATGGTTCTGTGTAGTTCAACAATATCCACTACATAATTTAGTGGTAACTATCAGTTGGTGATTGCAGTAATCACATGACACTTTTTAACAGAAATAGAAAAACAACCCTAAAATTCACAGGGAACCATTAAAAGACCCTGAGCGGCCAAAGTAAATTTGAACAAGAAGACCAAAGCTGGTGGCATTATACTTCCTGACTTCAAAATATATTACACAGCTACAGTAATCAAAGTAGTATGGTACTAGTGTAAATACAAACAGACCAATGGAAGAGAAGAGAGACCAGAAATAAAGCCATGTACAGCCTATATGATCAATGACTCTTTGACTAGGGTGCCAACAGTACACAATGGTTATAGTCTCTTCTGTAAACGGTATTGGAAAATTGGACAGCCACAGGTAGAAGAATGAATCTGATCCTTATACCATACACAAAAATTAACTCAAAATTGATTAGAGACTTAAATAAGAGACCCAAAACTATACAGCTCCTGAAAACAAACATAAGGGAAAAACTTCTTGATTTTGGCAATGGTTTCTGAGATGTGACACCAAAAGCATAGGCAACAAAAGCAAAAATAGACAATTGGGGCTACATCAAACCAAAAAGCTTCTACACAGCAAAGAAGACAGTCAACAAAATGCAAATACAGCTTATGGAAAGGAAGAAGATATTTGCAAATCATATATCTGATAAATGATTAATGTCCAAAATTTATAATAGCAATACCAAAAGAAAAAAAAAACAAAAAACAAAAAAAGAGAACAAAAACCAGTAACCCAATTAAAAAATGGTTGAAGAACTGAATAGACATTTCTTAAAAGAAAACGTACAAATGACCTGTAGGTATGTTAAAAGGTGCTGATCATCACTAATCATCAGGGAAATGCAAATCATAACCATGATGAGGTATTACTTTACACCTGTAAAGATGGTTATAATA